AGGTCTCGAGCGGAGGAAAGTAAACCCCGGCGCTAAGGCTGGAGCCGGGGGATGAACTTGTGAAGTATAAGGTACCGGATCTCGAGACAGAGCCGAAAATTTGAAGAGTGCAGAGTCGGCGATGAGGCTGGAACAGCAGCTTCATCGCCGACAAAAGAGCGATTGCACTTTTCGAGAATGGCAAAAGTTGCTGTGAGAAACTTCCATTCATTGAAAATTACAGTGTTGCAAGGAGAAACGTTAGTCTGAGGATATTCTATATACGTGGAATCCAGAATGGAACTTCTTTACTGACCCTCGTGAGCACTTTTTTTGCTTGTGGCCATCAAATTCCGAAAAATGCCACAGCAAATAAATTTTAGTGCATTAAAATGTATACTTGTCCTCATAACGTTATCGATATCCAGAAAAGCATGCAAAATCGGAATTTGGAATCGGATTTTTCATAACGCCCAATGATTTTCGAAAAACCAGTTAAACTTAAGAGTGTCGGAGAATTGCCGCCGGAAAACGAGGTCCTCGACACGGACCTCGTTTTCCGGCGAACACTGATGGTGATTAGGCTCCCAGGGTGTGCGAATATTGGAGAAAGCATCAGATGGAATTCATACAGTTACAACAGGCGATTTTTTGAGGCGCAAACACATTCTGTTGGTTAGGGAGATGCTATTGAATGTTTTTAAAATGTGGTTTCTGAAACTGTTGAATATGTCAACGGTGGACAGGTGCGGCCGAAATTTCAGAATTTAGGAGCCGGAGCTGAATCAACTTTTTTGAATTCGGGCATCATCGCTAGTGAGCAATATTCATTACACCGCATCAAATTCGCTCGTAATTGAAATGTTTGCACTTCACGTCAGCAGTCGTGGATAGTTCATTCACAATGTTGCTTTTCAGAGCATCCAGTTGCCACGTGTGTTACCAGATATGGTGCTGATTCGTGCAGGAAAATTGAGAAGCACTGTTACGAACTCCAGAATGTGCCTTTCATCGGACATAAACTTGGCACTCTTTTTGAAGTGCCACAGGAAATCGCGATCTGTATAAAGACAGGTGCCTGCACCAACAATCTCTTTCAACTTCACTGTCCTTACTAATTAAACTACTAATTAAACCAAATTCTAAGCGTTCCCGTCAACAGAGCCTTATTACTTCGGTCATCGCTGACAGATTATCTCCCTGAAAAATGAAACGGAATTTATGTTCACTGAACATCTTTCAGAAACCGTACTCGAAAAATGCACTGGAAAATACGGTAGAGACTTCTGTAGAAAATTAGAAGTAACTTGTGCGTCGATGCTCGGTATTAGTCTGTCTGTAAGTGTGGTTCGTGCTCTACCTGCAGTTGTTGTTGAATGCATTACAAAAGGTAATTCCCCTTGATTATGTATAAGATTTCAGCTGTTCTGAAGGAATCGTTTGCAGCTCACAGATCATCCTCGGTTCACTCAGTACTGCATATAAGCTACTGCCAATATAAACAGCAAACTGAAAATCTGAAAAATGTTTCATTTCAGAGCATCCAATTGCAAGCTGTGAGGCAAAATATGGTCCCGAATTCTGTCGTAAGTTAGAGGCACGTTGTTACGAGAAGGAAAATATTCCCGTCATTAGGCAACAGCCTGGAACTCTTCAGGAACTACCTCAGGCGATCGTTGTTTGCATAAGAACGGGTATTTTATTAAATGTCATACCGAATTCCAAAGAAATAGAATACTGTATAGATGCTCGTATGGATGGACAAACTAGTGCCTCGTTCTTCATTCAGAAGATCTGAATAGCGGATCACTTCGACTGTTCATTCTTCATCAGCGCAGCTTGACTGGATTCAACTAACGTACAATTTTCAGAGGTGGTTGTGGACCTATGTGCAGCGAAATATGGTAAGGATTTCTGCGTGAAAATGAAAAGAACATGTGCAAACTTGCTTGGTGTCGCCATCCCCACGGATACGTCCGTCAGTCTACCAGAGGTGGTGATCAAGTGCATTTCCACAGGTACGTCTGTGCTCCTCGTTCTGCTCTAATTCGTTTCTTCTTGGTAAATTTGTTACTTTTTGGGCGAAATTCATAGCGACTATCTCAAAACAGAATCTTGCCACAGACTCGAGTTTCCTGCAGGTGTCTCCGTAATATGATAGAAATTCGAATTCAGTTTCGTTGTATTCACGATGTTTTATTTCAGAACATCCAGTTGCTACATGCACAACAAAATACGGTGCCGACTTCTGCACGAAAATTGAGAAACGGTGTTATAAACTTGAAGATATACCATTCATCAAGCGCAAACCTGGTGCTCTCTATGAAGTCCCCCAGGCAATTGCTATATGCATGACAAAAGGTGTGTATATCTGCACCGTATTCACACCTAGTAAATTTATTGCTCAATGAAAACTCTCCACGCTTACATACTTCAAATTTTTATCATTATCATGAGCCGATCTTCATGTGAACTGATGCGTAAGGTGGATCACGAACAACAATAGACGAGCATCTTTTCAGAGACGATTCTTGATACATGCGTATCTAAATATGGTCGAGAGTTTTGCATGAAGTTGGAAACGACTTGCATTTCAATGCTTGGCATCAACCTATCAGTGGTTGCCTCTCGAGTTCTGCCTGCAGCTGCTGTTCAATGTATAACGACAGGTAGCTTTTATTCCCAGATCATGAAATTGAATTTACCGTGAATGATCATGAAATTGAGCGGTAATGGTGGAATTGTCCCAAACATACCCGGTGAGATGAACACAATTTGAAGATAACATATTTTCAGAAAATCCAGTTGCGATGTGTAGAGCAAAATATGGCGTTGAATACTGTGACAAGTTAGAGTTTCGATGCTACCAGAAACAAAATATTCCCTTTGTCAAGCACCAGCCGAACACTTTCTACGAACTGCCTCAAGCCATCGTGATTTGCATAAAAACAGGTACTTCATCGATCATTGCGTTGATACCATAGAAGAGTACATCATATCTTGAACAAAACACCGATCCACAGCTGCTAATTAGAAAAACTGAAACAGAATTTGTGNGTTCGCTTACTGGTTTGTAGATGGCATCCAATTGAGAGACGCTTTGCAGAATTGGTTGTGGACTTATGTGTAGCGAAATACGGCAAAGAATTCTGTACGAAATTGAAATTAACTTGTGCTTCCATGCTTGGTATTACAATGTCTTTCGGTTCGCCCAATATCCTGCCGGAAGTTGTCATCAAATGCATATCCACCGGTGAGTGCCACTTGATGAATACCATCCCATAGACCTTTCGTAGAATGTGACAAATTTTCACTGATTGAGTTATTTCCCTATTATAATGATGCGGTTGAATCTCTGATTGTATAAGACCAGGGCTGTTTTTGTACCTATCGTTTGGAAGGGATCTTCGACTTGTGGCTCAATTATTTGCAAAATTCTCTTTCAGAGCATCCAGTTGCCACATGCATAACACAATATGGTGCCGAATCTTGCGGTAAAATTGAAAGGCAATGTTACAAACTTCAGAATGCACCATTTATTGAGCATCAACCTGGCATTCTGTATGAGGTCCCGCAAGAAATCGCAGTCTGTATAGGAACAGGTGCTTTCATCCTTGTTTCTTAAAATATTCATTGTTTTAGCTGCAATGTTAGGAATTTTCTTCCTCTCATTGTGTGTGCATTTCTCACCATTTTCACAACGGAATCTCGTTTGGTGGACCATGGTGAAATGGTGGGAACAGACAATATTCAACAAACTTTTTTCAGAGGCAGTTCTCGATACGTGCATTTCAAAATACGGCAAAGAATTTTGTAAAAAACTGGAAATAACCTGTGCATCGATGTTGGATATCAATCTGTCCGTAACTACTGTTAACGCTTTGCCTGCGCTTGTTGTTCAGTGTATAAGGAAAGGTATGCATGCAGTTACGCTCTTTGCTATTTACCAATTGAAGAAGTAGTCATGATATTAACTCATAGACTTCATTTTGTCCTACGAAAGCTCATAAACTCATAGGCTCCACTTATTCATTTTTCATAATGAAAGCTTTTTTTTAGAGGATCCCGTTGCTACGTGCAGAGCAAAATATGGTCATGTATTCTGTGAGAAACTGGAGATACGTTGCTATCAAAAGGAGAATATCCCTGTCGTAAAGTACTCGCCCGGCAATCTCTATGAACTTCCGGAAGTCATTATTATCTGCATGAAAACAGGTAGAGTACTTTTTCATGTTAGATGCCGTGGAAAAAAGTACTCTGGCTCACGAAAAGCGATGTAGGGAGTACGTATTAATTGATGATACCAAAATGAGAAGTGAACAGTTAATCGGAAAATTGAACCGCCCTTTAAGCGCATCGATATGTCAGATCACCTGATCAACCTTTGCAGAACTAGTTGTGGACTTGTGCTCTGCAAAGTATGGCAAGGAATTTTGCACAAAATTGAAATCAACATGTGCAAAGATGCTTCACATCAGCATCCCAGCTGATTCATCAAATGCTCTACCTGAAGTTGTCATCAAGTGCATTTCTACCGGTATGTACCAACCTATCTGTATGCCTTCAAAACCCTCGTTTGTGAAATTACCGATCAATTCTTTGCCAGGTTATTTGCAATATACTGTGATGTAGCAATGATGTGTTATTCTAGAATATCCAATTGCTGTTTGCATAACGAAATATGGTGTCGACGTCTGTAATAAAATTGAGAAACGCTGTTACGAACTGCAAAGTATACCTTTCACTGAACGTCAACCTCGCACTCTGAGGAAAGTCCCACTCGCGGTTGCTATTTGCATAACGACAGGTGGATAGAAGACCATTGCATTTCTGTCTCCTTTCGTATTATAAATTCTTTCTTTGCAATATATTATTTTCGAACTATTTCCTTACCGTTGTAGCAAACTGAATATCGCATCAAATTCCTGTCAGAGTGAACTAACAAAAAATTCAATACAATCGTTGCAGAAACGACCCTTGATAAATGCAGATCTAAGTATGACCGAGATTTCTGTGAAAAGTTACAAGTTACATGTGCGTCAATGCTCGGCATCGACCTATCGGCCGGTGTAATCCGTACTCTTCCGGCAGTTGTTGTTCAGTGCATAACAAAAGGTATCTAATTTCAACAATGCTCTCTATGGGTATATCTCAGAGAAGCAGTTGAATCACTTTTGTATCATTCTCCGGAAACTTTGAACACCGCGGTTCCAGTTTTCTCCAAAATTTCTATGAACAATCTGAAGGAATCAATATTCAGAACACCCCGTTGCAACGTGCCGAGCGAAATATGGCGTCGACTTCTGCGACAAGCTAGAGGCGCGATGCTACCAGCAACAGAATGTTCCTATCATCAAACCTCACCCAGGAACTCTTCATGATCTCCCACAGGCGATCATTATTTGTATAAAATCAGGTTCTCCATTAAATTTCAATGAAACTGACGATGATTATATTTATCTTATTTGTGCTCATACTGCATTGTAATTTCATATAGTAAACAGTGAGAACAAATCGGGGGAATTAATTGGTTGTGAATATAACATGAAACATCATGTTGATGATTTAGTGAAGAGGATTTTGCAGAAGTGGTTGTTGATCTGTGTGCAGCCAAGTATGCGAAGGAATTCTGCATAAAGTTGAAAAAGACATGCGCAACAATGCTTGGTGTCACAGTCACTACTGATACATCTAGTATCCTGCCGGAAACCGTTATCGAATGCATATCTAAAGGTTGCAATTTGTTAAGTAAACTTCATTTCACTTACATCGAAAAATTATGAGAGACCACAGGAGATTCGCGTATTCATCTCTATTCATCATATCTCGATGAATATTTCATAATGAGTCATACGTAGAGAGATTCTTGCGTGTTTGCAAAATAATCTGCCACTGTAAAGATTTTCAGAACATCCCGTAGCAACGTGCGTAACGAAATATGGCGCCGAATTCTGCGGTAAAATCGAGAAACGTTGTTACGAATTGGAGAGTATACCTTTCAAGGAGTACCAACTCGGCACTTTCCGTGAAATTCCGCAGTCGATTGCGATCTGTATTAAGGAAGGTGAGCACAACTGTTTCCGTGGAATTCCGCAGTCGATCGTAAAAGGAGGCATTTAGCCTCCTTTTGCGACGTGCTCATCCTTAAATTTTTCGAAGGGTTTTGTCGGAATCGCGACAAATATGTCAGACGGAATGTCGCTTACAAGATGATCTCGAACATACCAAATGTTTTCAGAAACAGTTCTCGATACATGCATATCCAAATACGGCAGAGAATTCTGTAGAACGCTGGAAACAGTCTGCGCATCAATGCTTGGTATAAAACTGTCGTCTGGTATAACTCGCACTCTTCCGACTGTCGTTGTCCAATGCGTAACGAAGGGTACTACTTTCATAACTTTGTTCCGTTCTTGTATCTCTGAGAGCCGGAACCAGTGCTGTGCATGAATTTGTGATGTCTAACAACGAGTGTGAAACACGTCAAGTGAATGATCTGCTGAAGTTTGATCTCGCTGCAAAAAATGAATTTCCAGAGCATCCAGTTGCAACATGTAGAGCGAAATATGGTGCCGATTTCTGCGACAAACTAGAAGCACGTTGTTATCAGAAGGAGAACATTCCAACAATGGATCGTCGATCAGGAATTCTTTACGAACTTCCTCAGATAGTCATTGCCTGCATGAAATCAGGTAAACCCTTGGGATAAGCTAGAGACGTGGCCCGTCGGGATCAATGTCTGCGATTCGCAGATTTTGACTAGTTTGATCACATCGACTCATGAAAAATCTCACTTGTTCAGAGCATTATATCAAAAATTCATGGAATAAGTTTTTGCAGAGACGGTTGTCAGTGTGTGCACAGAAAAATATGGCATAGAGTTTTGTACGAAGTTGAAAACGACATGTGCAACGATGCTTGGTATCACACTCACGACTGATCCATCCGTAGTTCTGCCCGAGACAATTGTCAAGTGCATATCCAAAGGTTAGAGTTGTGCAAGAACAGCACATTCCTTTCGAATCTGATCACTTTTCACATCAAAACTGAGAATCTGACACTCTATTCAGTTCATCTTGAAGGGACGAATTATCGACTGAGGCGGTTCTTTGATTATTCTAATGGGAGACTGCTCCTCACTCATGAAGAAAAAATTTCACTCTGATGATTTTCAGAACATCCGATGGCCTCGTGCATAGCGAAATATGGTGCCGATTTCTGCAGTAGGATCGAAAAGCGATGTTACGAGTTGCAGAGTATACCTTTCACTCAGCACCAACCAGGCACTCTCTATGAAATCCCGCAGGCGATTTCAGTATGCTTAACAACAGGTGCGTACTTTCGCTTTATTTACAGAATCCTATGACTTCATCAAATTGTATAGGTTGCTTTTAAAGGAACCTATACAACTTCATGAAGTTGCTGAAGCAATTCTTTTTGCAGAGACCATTCTCGACAAATGCATTTCCAAGTACGACAGAGAGTTCTGTAGGAAGCTGGAAAGAACGTGTGCGTCACTCCTTGGTATTACTCTGCCTAATGGTGTCGTTCGCGCACTTCCAGCAATCGTCGTTCAGTGCATAACGAAAGGTTACCTTTGACCTTCAAATCGAAAAATATATCTTTATGTTACTAATAATGAATGATTACGACATTTTTCGACGATTCTTGAATCCCATTTTGTTTCTTTTGGAACGATGAATTTCCAGAGCACCCAGTCGCAACGTGCAGAGCAAAATATGGTTCTGACTTCTGTGATAAGCTAGAGGCAAGGTGTTACCAACAAAACGGTATTCCTACAATTAGATATCGGCAAGGAACACTTCCTGAACTTCCGCAGGCGATCGTCGTCTGCCTAGGATCAGGTATTTCACTGAATTTTGAGGAAATTATCATGAATGCAGTTCCACCGTTCAAGAATGGGCATTAGTGTGGGTCCCGTAATCTGATCAGTGTTTATTTAGAGTAGGTTGAATGGGCATTAGTGTGGGTCCCAGTTTATTGAGCTTCTTGTTTACCCATTTTTATTTAATTAGAGTAGGTTGAAGAAAACCTGCATGTACAGGCTGTGAACTTTGAAAACATCATTTTAGTGTGCCACAAATATCGCAGCATATCTTGATCGTAACTGAACAAATATTGTGTTGGTAATTGACCTTGTCAAGTTCCTTCTGTAACATTCTGAAGTGACCATGCTAACAGATCAATGAAAAGAATTTTACAGGAATGATTGTTGATATGTGCGCTGCGAAATACGGCAAAGAATTTTGTGTTAAATTGAAAACGACATGTGCAGATATGATTGGCATCAAAATAACAGGTGGTCCATCTGGCGTTCTACCCGAAGTAGTTGTCAGGTGCTTATCTACAGGTTGGTTTTGGGTGGAAGCTGTGCACCCCATATGATCCTAACACACTGATCGTTATTCAGCTATGAATTTCTGAAACGTCCCGTTCGCAGAACGTTTTCACAGTTAACGTTGGCTGTTTTTGTTCCAGAACATCCGGTTGCAATTTGCGTAGCCAAGTACGGTGCTGATTTCTGCAGTAGAATTGAGAGGCGCTGTTACGAACTTCAGAGTATACCCTTCGTCAAGCCTCAACCCGGCACTCTTTATGAAGTACCTCAGGCGATCGCAATCTGCATAACAACAGGCATTTCTTTCTACTCGTAGCTTGTTTTTCAGACAATTTTTTCAGTTTCTTGCACGAATCGGTCAGGTTCTTTACATTTGTCGCGCATGTCATCCTAGACAGAAGACCGATTTGAGATCTATGATGAAACCGACCTCGCTTACGTCTGAATGAACTCTTTTCAGAAACGGTACTTGACACGTGCTTATCGAAATATGGTAGAGAGTTTTGTAGAGCGTTGGAAACATCTTGTGCGTCAATGCTCGGTGTTAGCCTTCCGACTGGTGTTGTTCTCACTCTCCCGGCAGCTGTTGTTCAGTGTATAACGAAGGGTCAGTGGTCTGAATCATCCTCCATCACCTCTCCACCCCGAAAACGGTACTCTGATATCGCAGAGATTGTCTTGCTGGCATAGTCATGAAATTGTACCCCGCCGTTTACATTGATCATGAAATTTGATAGGCTTATTGCGGTGATGCATTTTCAGAGCACCCAGTGGCAACTTGCAGAGCAAAATATGGAAGAGATTTTTGCGACAAATTAGAGTCGCGGTGCTATAAACAGCAGAACATCGCTGCCGTTAAACCACAGCTGAGCAGTCTCAACGAACTTCCCCAGACGATCGCTGTCTGCATAAAATCAGGCACTTTATTGTTTCTCAGAGATGCACCCTTTTCTTGCAATGGGTATTTCTACATAAATCCCGACTCTTCGCCCAGAAGGAAATTGAAATTAACACCTTTGCTTCAGTTTTTCTCCTCTCTTTGGTGTAGCTGAATGCATGTTACTGTACGAAGACAACATTGCACAATAACAAGTTCATGAATTTTATGAATTGTACAGTTCTATCCATCATGAATTTCAGAAGAAAACAGTCAAAAACTTTATTATTCGTGAAATGTTGAAACAATTACTTAGATGATTATGTTTTGCAGAAGTGGTGGTTGATTTGTGTGCAGCAAAATATAGTAAAGAATTCTGTGTGAAGCTTAAATCTAAATGTGCAGAAATGCTCGGTATAACTCTCTCGAGTGATTTCGCAGGCACTCTTGCGGAAACAGTCATCAATTGTGTATCTTCAGGTATCGCTTCGTGAATGAAATGATTCAGTTTATTCACTTGCAGTCTGCTTATCTTCTCTTCGTTTCATGAAGCTGCAATTTTCAGAACATCCAATGGCAACATGTATGGCTAAATACGGTTCTGACTTCTGCAGAGCTACTGAAAAGCGTTGTCATGAGCTACAAAGTATACCATTCATAAAGCCTCCACCTGGTACTCTTTACGAGTTACCTATTGCAATAGCAAATTGTTTACGATCAGGTACGTTTCACATATTTATCACCAGGTAATATGTGAATTTCGTTGCTGCAAATTATTTGCCTGCCGAATTAGGGAAATTTATCATACTATTGTCAAAAACTGAGGAATATGCTCAATTTTTAGTAAGTCCTCATCAACGAATATACCTATTCGCGCATTTTGTCTTATGGCGGGTGAATAATATTTTTAGTCGCATGACCATGTTCCTTCTGAATTTGTTTCCAGAGACGGCTTTGGATCAATGTGTCTTGAAGTATGATCGCAAATTTTGTGACGATTTGGCAAAGACATGCGCGTCCATGCTAGGAGTGCACTTATCAGGCACAATTGCCCGGGCATTACCAGCATCTGTTATGCAATGTATTACCAAAGGTAACAGTGACATTTCTTTGCCGTTTTTTGATTATGGCAAACGTTTTCCGAGAGTTGGCTAGTGTTACCACTAATGATTTACCACATGATCTGGAAGATGACTGCTCTTTAGAGCATCCAGTGGCAACATGTAAAGCAAAGTATGGCGAGGATTTCTGCAACAAGCTTGAAGGCCGCTGTCAGCAAAAGAGTAACAGGGGAATCCTTGGCCGTAGGTCTGGCGCTATATACGAATTACCTCAAGAGGTTGACGAGTGCATTAGATCAGGTATTCTTACGAGCCTTTTGAGAATATATCGTATGATTGAAAACGAATGATGATTAGTTGCAATGAGTGCGGTTAAATGATGATATAGTCGGGATGAAGAGAACAGCTAATAGCTGACGAAGTTGAGTGAATCACTGATTATGCTTGAATAATGATGAACCACGCTTCAAATATTGGCGAGTTTATATGGTCAAATGGATGCTTCTTTAACTGACCAACACTTCAGAAGTGAATTATAGTAGCAAATGATGGGAACGTGATAAGTTTTGCGTGGTTTATTTGACCGCTCCACAAACCGGTACAATGCTGTCTTGAACTTCTTGATTCGTTTTTTTTCAACGCACCAGCCAATTTTGTGAAATTAATTGGATCCGATGGTTTTGACATTGAAATATCAAGCAAGGTTCGAAGATGGAAAGTCAATTTCCAGAGGTGGTAAGTAAAACTTGCGTCGAGAAATATGGCAGGGAATTCTGTAAAAAGTTGGAATCAACATGCACATCCATGCTCAATATAAATTTGCTGACCGGTGATAATCGTAATCTTCCGATAGAAGTAATCCGCTGTATCTCATCAGGTATTCTTACTTTTCAACACTAGCTCATCCTTTTTCTTTCCTACTCAGGAGCTACTTAGTGGGAACACAAAGATTTTTTCAAAATGTCCAGTCAATGATTCGAGTTATTTCCAGAAAACCCGATGGTGACATGCACAGCGAAGTATGGTTCAGATTTCTGCAATAAAGTTCGAGACCGATGTCAAAAATTGATTGGCAAAAGTGTCACGAATAACAAAATGAATGTTGTCTACGATTTGCCGCAGACGATCACTATTTGTATTGCATCGGGTATTTGAATCTTTTCTTCTTACTACTAGAATTTCTGTGGACGCAAATGCTTAATGCTCCGCGGAAGTAAAGCTCAATGAACTTACAATTGAAATCAATACATAATGCAAATTTTGGATATGCATCAGGCAAAAGCGTGAAATTTCTCTATTCAATGAGAACAACTATCACCGACTTCTTCATTTCTTTAAGTATGTATATTCCTGTACTTCTGCAGTGTAGTGGACCCCACCCCACGCGCCCATCGAAAGACAGAAAAGGGATAGACTCAGCATAAGTCTAAGTGTTGCTGTTAAGGGGTTACCACTGAAGAGCAAAACTCATTTAACTGTCTATGTGAACGACCATCGAAAGAGAGAAAAGGGATAACCTCACATCAGCAAATGCATAAGCGTTGCTGTTAAGGGGTTACCATGAGGTGGGGTCCACTACGTCGCAAAAGTGCCTAGATTCCTTGCAGTACAATTTCTGCATAAGCAAATGCTTGCCACTAAGTTTGGAAACATTAACTCATGCACATTCAATAAAAAAATATTTGGGTTCCGCGGAACATAAGTGTGTTTGATAAAAATGCATAGAATCCGTGTTACACCATATTTTGTTGAAATACTTAGTAAACGTAAACAAAGAATACCATAAACTCAAGTAAGCAAATCAATCATTTTCGTCGCTGTTTCGCATTGACATTTTTTCAGAAGTGACGCTGTATTCATGTGAGACTAAATACGGTAGCACTTTCTGTACCAAACTGCAAATGACATGTGCATCAATGCTTGGCATTCCTTTACCACTCGGAGGAACTCGCAATCTGACACCAGCCGTTGCTAAATGTATTGCCACAGGTAGATCAAACTAGTTTGTTGTGTTGTTATGTCCTTGACAACAGTCAGCCAATGAGAATTTGAGGAATTAGTAAGCACAATGATATGCTCACATTTGATATTTCAGAACACCCACTAGCAACCTGCGTAGCTAAGTATGGTCCCGAATTTTGCAATAAACTCCAAGACCGTTGCTACGAAATTCAAAACCTACGATCAATCAAACGAATGCCTGGCGCTCTCTTCGAATTACCACAAGTGATCACTAGTTGCATATCGTCAGGTAATTCACAGCATCCATCTGCTATTTCGATTCATACGTGAAGTTACTACAACTGAATGACAATGAATGTGGAAAAGGAAGATCTAAATTCACACAATTTTTCTAGTGAATCGCTCGTGCAAATTACAGAATAACGGCTAACAGTGTCGCCCGAAAAATTCATAAACAAATGTAGTGGACTGATAATTATGATCTGATATGTTGATAGGTATGAGCAAATTTTCCAGCATGTCAGCATGATTCTGATGATGCAGCTTTCTAAAGGTTTTATCAAATGATGAGAGTA